ATTCTACGACATTGGTATGGTTTTTTTGTAACTTACGGTATATTTTTGCTCATTTTGCAATTGTTTTGTACGATTTACAGTATGGTTGAAAACTTTTTTTTTTTTGAAACGGCCGAAAATTCATGCGCGCGCGGATGTCATCCATATAATCAAATCAACATGGCCTTATTGTGAGTCAGACTGTCAAAGTGTCACCTCTGACCCAAAATTGGGAGTGGCGCTACAAACAAACTGGCTAGCTTGCCTGACAAGAATGTACAGTAAATACTATAATTTTCGATGGCGCAAATTTATACATGATTGTGTATATTTTCGAATGAAAGCTCATCTGTGTTCAACTTGGTAGAAACCATAGTTATAGAGTTCAAGCTTTGTTTCAACACAGGAAGCTCACCATGAATTTTTGGCCAACCTTTGTCAGATGTATATATTTTCGTGCACTTGGGTACTAAACTACTACAGAGGGACCATCATCAGAATCTGATGTAGTGCTAGGTTTGATTTAATCCAGAAGATGCATGCTTCACTCATTACACCATGAGGTGTAGGATGGTAGCCTGGCACCTACTGTATTACTGGCCCTATAGAGGCACGAAGAAAGGTCACTCACAAGAATGGTGTCTTAAAAGAAAACAAGTTTTTAGAGATAAGGCCACACCAAGTAAATTTTATGGATGACGTCCTTTGGAGACCCTAAATCTAATGCGAGAGGGCGAAAAAAAACAAGAAGGGCCCTAAAAACAAGATGCCTAGATTAGAAATATACGAAAATGTTAGGACACAAATTGAATGAGATGACACAGTGTAACAAGCAAGAAGTCTTTTATTCATCATCAAAACAGCAATAAATCAGGTGTAACAGCAGTTGTCCTCCTGTGCTTTGGGGAGATAGATGGAGCGGTCAGCAAGTTTCTTCAAATGTGCCAGCATGTACCAAACTGAATTCCTAAAGGAAGTCATGATTTCCTTGCTTGATGCTTCATAAGCTTTGGTCGGTACAAACCTATTTGTGGCACTGTCGTGACTCTTTGGTCATAGTTACAGGAAGCGAAATTTCTTGTGTTTTTTTTTCTAGGAAGAGGCCAAAATCAATGCGCGCGCGGACGTCATCCATAAAATTTACTTGGTGTGGCCTAACCAGTCATGGATAGAGATAGACATAGCCAGTCAAAGTAGATCTAGATGCAGCTATATGGTAGCTGCTTCTGCTGAAGTCTTGTACTTTGCTGCTGCTTTATCCATTATTATTGAGAGGGTGACGATTTAGAGGTTTACAAAGCTTTCAGTTCTGGCTACTGTTTTTTTTTTGTGCAAGTTGGCATTTGTTTTACTACAAACTGACCTTTTTTTAAAGTTTAAAGACAATGGATAGGCTGGCGTACTGCTTTTGGCAGCAAACTTGCAGTATACCATAAGACTAATCCTATCCTTATTCATGAACAAAAAGGCAAATTAAACAGACAATTTACAGCACACAGAGGAGCAGTCTCTCTGGTGTAATTCTGCTGCCCTGCCAGCTGGTAATGACACAATATCTGCACAGCTTGTCACTAATCCCTCCCTATAAATCACCTGCAGATCAGATGGAGAGAAGCTAATTAGTTAGAATATAGACATTGTTTTGATCTGAGGAGAGAGATGTTTTTCCTTCTTTTTTTTTTTTATCTAGGCCATGTTGATTTGATTATATGGATGACATCCGCGCGCGCATGAATTTTCGGCCGTTTCCAAAAAAAAAAAGTTTTCAACCATACATTTACAATCGTACAAAACAGTTGCAAAATGAGCAAAAATATACCAAGTTACAAAAAAAAAATTAATAAAAACTATACCAATGTCATAGAATGCCAAAATCAAACGAA